CGGGCGGCTTGTCCATCTTTGCCCTCCAAGACCTGAGTCAGTTCACTCAGACCGTTTTAATTCATTCAGACCGTTTAAAAGACCACTGCTGCAAGGTCCGAGCCTCGTCCTCCCAGAAAGTCAAGACCGGATCCCTCACGTCCCCCTTGCAGCCCGGATCTTTGCGGCTGGATTCTTAGTAGGCCGTGCCGTACAACGGTGGAAGCCCAAAGAACAAAACAAGCAACCTCACTGTCATCATTGCTGCTAGGGCTCGGAGCTGGATGTGGCAGGACGTGAAGTACTGCATTAAGGCCTTGCTGCAGTCCCGCCATGTGTAGCTCTGGTCATAGCGCAAGACCTGCCCTGGCCAAGACTCAGAAGCTGTAGACCAACTGCCAACACATGATCAGACAGCCAAATGCTCAACACTTGAATGCCGCCAGGTAACTCTGCAGCTTGTGGACGATCTCCAAGGCCCTGTCGCGAAGCTGCGAGTGCTGCAGCATTGCCAAGATACCCTGGCATTCACAAAAAGTCAACAGTCAAATGGCCAACTTTAGACTTTTATGCAGACAAGTCTCGAGCCACACATGCTTGTCCACGTAGAGCTTCGTCAAGTAAAAGTGCAGCTGCGGGTGGTGGTCATAGACCATGATGCGGGCCTTCAGCAAGACCTCCTTCTCTTCGAACTCACCGTCCTGGTTGGATCCTCCGTCGGCACCAGAACACGTCAGAAGCAAAGTACAAGTACACTATTTGCAGGCCAAGCTACCCGAGGCCGTCGTCATCGTCGAAGCTCCAAGACCAAACGCTTCGGGAGCTATGGCACACAGTCGGGCTGGAACAAGACCCAAGTCCTCCAACAAACCTACCAAACTCAGGACCTGGATGCTAATGATCAAATGCATTGATGCTGCAGATGTGTTGCTTGCCCACACTACCATGAAGTTTCAACCAAAGACAGAACTCTTGACTGGGTCGGCTGCGATACAGGCCAAGTCAATTGCTGCAAAGAGCGCATGTGCAAGACAGGCACTGTGCAACCAGAACAATGAGCTCATGCACCTTGAAGCCAAAGTGCAGACCATGTAGAAACGACGCCGTTCAGACCTGAAGTGGGTCGCAAACACCACTGCCAAAACCAACGAAGCTTCAGTCGCTCTGAGACCCGAGCCGCATCTTCTCTGGAGCAAGGGCAAGACCTGTCGGAGGAGGGCATCACATGTATGTTCTCGTGCACAAGCCGCGGCCCCCAAACCCGCCCCAAACCCGAAACCCTTGATGTTTCGCCCTACCCAACCCCTGAATGATGAAACCGTGCTACTGCTGATGAACTCAGAAACCCCTAGAACCCACAGTACCCAGCGAACCGACAAAACCCAAACCTATGTACCTGACCCAACGGCTCCGATTTTCTGGAATCCGCACACAGGTCTTAAGACCAGCAGGGCAGAAAAGGGGGTTCACGGTGCTGTGCGGC